CTCTGTCAAATAAATAAATAAAATCTTTAAAAAAAAAACAAAACAAAAAAAAAAACACGATCCAATTAAAAAATAGGCAGAGGACCTAAATAGACATTTCTCCAAAGAAGACATACAGATGGCCAACATGAAAAGTTGCTCAACATTACCGATCACTGGGGAAATGCAAATCAAAACCACAGCATCAGTTTACACCTTTCAGAATGGTTAGTATCAATAAGAAATACCACATATTGATGAGGATGCGGAGAAAAGGGAACGTCGTTGCACTGTTGGTGGGAATGCAAAATGGTGCAGCCACTATGGAAAACAGTACGGAGATTCCTCAAAAAACTGAAAATAGAATTATCATTCAATCCAGCAATTCCACTTCTGGTTACTCATCTGAGGAAAATGACAACACTAACTCAAAAAGATATTTGCACTTTTATGTTCATTGCAGCATTATTTACAATAGCCATGATATGAAAGCAACCTAAGTGTCCACTGACAGATGAATAAAGATGTGGTACATATACAATGGATTATTTTACTCAGTCATACAAAAGAATGAAATCTTGCCAATCATGACATGGATGGACCTAGAGTATTTTGTCAAGTGAAATAGGTCAGACAGAAAAAGTAAAATATTATATAGTTTTACTTATATGTGAAACCTAAAAAGCAAATGAACAAACAAAACAGAAACAGACTCATAGATACAGAGGATAATCTGGTGGTTGCCAGAGGGGAGGGGATAGGAAGGGAATTGGCAAAATAGGGGAAGGGGATTAAGTGGTACAAACTTCCCATTATAAAATAAGACACAAGGATACAATGCACAGCATAAAGAATATAGTTAATAATATGTAACAGCTTTATATGGTGACTGATGGTAGCTAAACTTAATCATGGTGATCATTTTGTAACATATATAAATGTTGAATCACTGTTATACACCTAAAACTAATATATCATTGTATGTCAACTATACCTAAATTAAAAAAAAAAAAGAACTACAATGAGATATAGCTAAAATTAAAAAGACCGACCATACAGTCTTAAAAAGCATGTGGAGAAATCAGAATTCTCAGACACTGCTGCAGGAATGTAAAATAGTACTACCACTTTGGAAAATGTAAGTTAAACGTATACCTACCGTATGATCTAGCCATTCCACTCCTAGGTATTTACCCAAGAGAAAAGCAAAGCACACGTCCACAGAAACAGTTGTATACAAATGCTCAGAGCAGCTTTATTTGTAATAGCCCAAATCTGGAAACAACCCAAATCTCCATCAACAGGTAAATGGATAATCTGTGATATAACCATATAGACCACTTGGAAATAAAAAAGCAATGAACTATTGAAACACATAACATGGATGGGTCTCAAATACTTACGCTGAGTGAAAGAAGCCACACACCCTTGACCACCACCCCCAAATACATGCTGTATGGTTCCATTTATATAAAATTTCAGAAAATAAAGACAATTCTATATTGTCAAAAAACAGATTAGTGGTTGCTTGGAGGCAGGGAGACATAGGAAAATGTGGGAGGGATTAAAAGGGGCATGAAGAAACTTTGGGGGTGGTGATGGATATGTTATGGATATGTTCAATATCTCAACTGTGGTGATAGTTTCACATATGTATACATATGTCAAAATGTATTAAATGGTATACTTTAAAGATTTTTTTTTTTAGTTTAGAGAGAGGGCACAAGCAGGGAGGGGCAGAGAGAGAAGGAGAGAGAATCGTAAGCAGGCTCCATGCTCAGTGCAGAGTCCAATGCTGGGCTCGATCTCACCAATCCTGAGATCATGACCTGAGCTGAAATCAAGAGCCAGATGCTTAACTCAATGAGCCACCCCGGTGCCCCCAAATTATATACTTTAAATATGTATGGATTAATGTATGTCGATTGTACCTCAATAAAGCTATTAAATAAAAATCTCGTGGTATATCTACATAATACTAAGTTGGAAAGATAATTATAAAGATGAGGCAAGTTGCAGAATACTATACTCTTGTTTTTCCAAAAGAATAAATGTGCATATTTTTAAGAGGGATATGCGATGAAACATTAGGGCACTATGCACTAATTGTTAACACAGAAGAAACATTACGTGATTCAAAAATATGTTATAGAAGTACATTTATTGATATGGAAAGATGCTCACAATGTACAGTCAGTGGGGAAAAAAGCAAGTTACAAACAGTATTTACAGTATGGTCTTGTTTTAGTTTCTTAGCTATTGAAAAATCTCAAAGCATATAACCTAATTATTTTCACACACTGAGACATTCTCTTCAGTTTACACCAGTGGCTATAATTCCTACCATGAATTATCTGATGAAGGCAGAATAAGGGAAAAACAGTAATTCCTCTTACATTAAACAGCCTATAGCAACGCCTGCCTTTACATGTTGAGTGCACACTCAGCAATGAATGTGTGTGCATATGGATATATGTGAGTGCTGTTAGTTCTGTTTTTGTGTGCATATGCTTTATTTCTGCAACTAGATTACAAATTCAATATCTTCTTTTTTTTGCCATTTGAAGCCACAAATAGATCTAAGCAAATACTAATGAGTAAGTTTAGCCTACTTAAGATGAACTGGTTCACTATCTTAAGTAAAATGTTAAAAAGTTGCCCATCTACACAAGATAAAAATCAACAGATGTTTTCAGCTTACAATGCAATATTCATTTGATATCTCAAAAATGGTCTAGCTCAAACCTAGAGACTATTGCAGGTCATGTCACATTACAGATGTGATTTATAACATATACACTGTAATAATCAAAACATTATGCAAGGCTCTTTAGGAATACACAGCCTATTAGATTGTTCAAAGCATTCACTTTTATTTCTGCCTCATTTTACATTGTTTCAATAATTACTTTAACTTCACGGAAAATGGCCATCAGTGTATTGTAACTCATGTGATCAACAACTACAATTGAACCCTTTCTGATATGCTCCTTTATGTTAATAAATATGGCCACAGCACTAACGAGATTGGCTTTTGCCTCTTTCTGGTTAAAGATGAGTTTTAATGCTGCTAAGGCCTTTGTATTGATCATGTCTCTGGCTGCAGCTGGATTTTCAGACATATTCAAAAGTACTTTTAAAACAAGATTTCTGGTTTTACGATTTCCCAGGGATAGCAAGTGGAAAAGCTCTGAAAAGTAATTGGCAACAATGTGGTGATGGTTAGAATCAGCAGTCAGTTGCCCTAGTATCTTTAATCCAGATTGTTGTCCAGGTGAGTTCAAGGGGAAAGACATGGTTTCCTTACACATATGCTTAACGTGTAATTCAATCTTGCGTTGTCTCTCATCCCCAGAGGGAGGATTCAGAGTAATTACGGCCTTTTTTCTGATTTCAGAGGAAGGAAAACTGAGCAAGCTTTCAATAAGCGTCACTACACCCACCTCATTAATAAACTCTTGGGCAAAGGGATGAACATTAGTGATCCCCATTGCAATTTGAGCTATTTTATGAATGAGAGGATCAGTAGTTGACTTAAGTAAGGTAACAAGTTTTTCAAATTCCTCAGAATCCATGTAGCATTCCATTTTGCAAGGGCAAGCAAATGGCTTAATCCCATTCACTTCCCTGATCCTGATTTGGCGTCTAATCTCCTCTATAGTCTGGATGCAAGGGTCAGAACCAAATGGGTACTCAGGGACAGGCTGTGAACATGAAGTAGTGCTCCTAGAAGGGCATGTTGTTGCCACAGGCAAAGAATGGGTGTTTTCCTCAGCTGAGGCCAGGACAATATATGAAGGAGGCTTTGTCTCAAATGGGACTTGGGATCTAAATCCTAACACTGCTGGAGTTACAGCAGGGGCTTTGGGCCAGATAGTTACCTCAGACCAGTCCTTGGGCCTATTTTTTTCATTAATTTCATCCACAGGCTGGGGCCTAACTATCCTACTCACAGGTCTAGGATTAGGATCAAAACTAGTTTCATCTCCATCCCAAAACCAGTTCCCAATAACATTTTCTTCCTCCTCCTCCTCAGTCCCTGGCCTAGCTCTGCAGCCGGCCCCAGCCACAGGCTCTAACTTTTCAGCACAGGATGGGGGACCAATACCAGCTTTACCTTCATCCTTAGCACTGGAACGATTACTAGCCTCTTCTCCATTCCAAAACCAGGAACCAACATTGGCCTCTTCCCCAGCCCAAAACCAGGTATCAACACCAGCCTTATCTTTACATATGGACCTGGACTCAGCAGTAGCCTCAGACACAGAAGACATCCCAGATACTCTAGTGGCCTCATCTTCAGCTTTGGGACTGAAATCTGCCAGGGCTCTTTCCCTTATCTCAGTAACAATCCTGTTCTTAGACCTTGCTTTCGCCACTGCCGCTGCATCAGCTTGAGACCCTGCCTTGGCTAGTGCTTTGTCCTGGGTCTTGGATACAGGTCTGACTATGGCAGTAGACTCCCTCTTTGCTTCAGCTTGTATACCAGCCCTTTTTTGAGTTTTGGCTTTGTTTCTACTCTCATTCTTAGCCCCAGTCATGGTTGAAGACCAGTTATATAGATAGCCCTATACAATCTTGGCCCTGGTTCTCAATGTGTCCCAGGCCAATGTCTTAACACTCTTTCACTGGGTCAGACATAAACTTTGTAGCAAGAGTTAGTCATCAGCTCATCAGTCACACAGTCCCCTTTCCAAACACACAGCCTCTGTCAATGATACAGAGAGAAGACAGAGGCAATCAGCCTGAGTGAAGATGATGGTTCCTGAGTTCAGACCTGTTGAAGATGATGACCTGCCACTCCAAGGCCACTATAGCCACCACTGGAGATGGACCTGAGGTGGAAGAAGAAAACGAGCTTTAAGTCTCTTCCAACTGTGCTTCTCCATGCAGACAGCCACACAAGACATGAGAATAGAGATGGATTGTGTGGTAGAAGTGGAATACTAGAAAATTCTGTTACCTCATTTTATCCCTTCCACACTCCCACTAATGCCCAACAATGTACTGCCCAGGCACTAACACACTCTTTTCTCTGTATCACGTAGGAGCAGGGATGATGGAAAAGCTTGCTGAAAGTTAGAAAGGCTAAGAAACATCCAGGTCTATCAAGGTAGGCCTCACAGCAACCTATACTCATCTAGTGCAATTTTCTCCCCCTTCCTTACTTTCAGGAATGATAAGTCCTACAGCCAATATACAGGCAGACCTATGGACAAAATACAGGAGGGTTGGAATTTTCAGTATTTGGTAGACAGACATGTGCTCTGAATTCTAAACTCAATACATGCCTTCCCAAATCTAGAATTTTGGTTATATAATGTTTCTGGCCTCCTTCGTCCTCATGGCTTCTCACCCCATTTCCTGGGTATCTATCAATTACCCTCTAGGCACAATCCTGGCTTAACTTATCCCCATTTCCTATACACAAATGTGAAGACAGAAGTGTCTGGAAAGTCGGAAGACAATGGCTCCAAGATATGAGCTTGTCTCACCTACTTGCCAGTAGCCCATTTCCATCCCCAATCAATAGGGGTGCTCATGCTCACACTCACCTTGGACCCAAATGAATAGTTTTCGTCCTCTTTCTTAATTCAACGTGAACAACTATCTACAGAGTTCTACAGGAACCTATAAAGAAACAAACTTAAGAATAAATAAAAAGGCAAAAGAGAGAAAACAGAAGAGACTGACTTAGCCCAACACCCATCACAAATGTTGTAACACATACTTTTGTTTATTTGAGGCCATGTTAAATGTCTCCCACCTGTCTGCTCCTACCAGATGATTTTGCATCCATTCCCCCAAGACCTGCAGCTTGTCTAATTATACTTCCTCCTAATTTTTAATTCTGTCATTTTCCCAGCAGAGGCCACACCTCTTTCCCTGAACAAAATATGAGATGGGAGAGTGGATAGTGGAATGCAGGCAACTGTATTTAGAAAGCACACAGTAAAGATAATAGCGACTATTAGTTCAATACCATTTTTGCATGCCCCTACCGTTTCCCCATGCATACACAGACGCTACCTCATTGCCACCTATGCCAGCCAGCCTACACAGCAGGGGTTCTCAAGAACTTCTATCCTTCCCACCAAAGAACAGTTCTTGGCTGGAGAAGAGTCACGACCTGCAAAAAGGAGGTGCATTCAGCAAAACACCAAGAGAATATACTGACAATGGCAGCAAAATACCAGGTTAATAGACAGTTACCCAGAATTCAGGTCCTAACACCACCTTCTGAAGAATCAGGAAGTAAGTATAAACGTCATAGGGTTTAAAGTGAACCTTCAGAAAACATTCCCCTCTATTCTGACCCACCATTCCCACACCTCAACATATTAAAGTGGGCTGAGATGTTGAGAAAAAGGATCCTGGAGGAGAAAGGTGGATTAATGCCACACTATTTCTCACACAGACCCTTCCTGTGAAAGGTGATCTACTCCTCACTCTGTCATTTCCTTGCATTTATTTGGGTGCAAGATATAAATATGGAAGGCAGTATCATGAGATGGATAAACACTTCATTTTGATGTCTTCATAATCTACCCACTCAACTGCCCTTTTGCTAAACGTGCCAGATCTACCACACAGAAAGACTTTGGCATCAACCAGGCGCCTGTGGGAAAGGACAGCGCCCAGGGCGCGGGACCCAACAGGCCCCTTTCCAGAATCAGGGCCCGGAGTAGCCGACGCCACCGGCCACCCGTTCCCGGCAGCTGGGCACAGAGCTCGGACGCCATCCCGCCCCCCCGCCCCCCGCCCTCCCTGGGCGCCCCCCACCCCAGCTCCCGCTCCGCCATTTCTTCCGCAGCAGCCTCCCCCCACAGCTCTCTCCCGGCACAGGCACCGTCGACGGCGGGTCGCGGGCGCCTGGAAAGCTGGCCGCGGAGTGGCGGGAGCAGTTCGCCTCCAGAGGATCCGAGGGAGCCTCTCCGGCCAGCCCCGGTGCCCGGGGCCCGGCCCGCGCCAGTCGCCGCCTCTCCTCGCCAGGGGTCCCGCGGCGCTGCGCACCTCTCTCAGGGAGGTCGCCTCCTCCTGGCCAGGCTGCCAGGGTCTGGGGTCCGGGAAGGCTGGAAGCCGGGCGACAGTGGGGGTCCCCCCGCCTCCCCCCACGACACCCCCACTTGCCTTCACAGGCTCAAGGTGCAGGTCGTTGGCCTCCCCCCTCCTCTCGGAGCTCCTCACTCGGATTCCCACCGCCTTGCGTGCGGCCAGAATCGCAAAGAGACGTCCCGCCCCCCGCGCCGCTGCACCAAACTGGGCAGGGGCTGCGCAGGATGCGGCACGAAACGCTCGCGGCGAGGGTGTCGGGAAGGGGGGCGGAGGGATACGGCACGAATGGGCTCGACGCCCCCTCCCCGGCCCACCCTAGTTCCGACCCAGAGGGGGCGGGGCCGGGAGGAGCCCCAGCCTAAGGGGCGGGCTCACAGCAGCGCGCCTCTGCAGACCTCCGCGGCGACCACCCCCTCATTGCTGGCCCTGCAATCTATGGGACTCGGGGAGGGTTGGCGGTGGGGGCTAGGATCCAGAGGTCGGTGGCGGCGGGGCGGGGAAGGTGCGCTGCCCGGCAGCAGCGGATGGATATCAGCCGCCCCTCGGTGTGTGAGAGCCCCCAGACTGCTCAGTGTCTGTCCACTTCCCTCTCCCCCGTTCTGTCCACCATCCTAACTGGAGGCCGGTGGGCCAGGGCCTGTCAGGACAGCAGGCTGCGAGGCGAAAGGCGACCTAGGGCCAGACTGCCCCGGAGGTTCTGGGGTGGGTGGCCGTCCCACGTTCTTCCTTCACTGCTTCGCGAGGCCACTGAAGGGAGGAAGATGGGAGGGGGGCCCCCACGAGGCCTCACCACTGCGCCTTTTCTAAAGGAAGGCAGATCTACACCTCTACCCCGAGAAAACCAACCACTGCTCTGCCTCCATTCTTTCTGCCACACTGCTGTTTCCCCCCCTCAAACTGGCAACATGCTTTTGCCATTTCGCAGTCCCCACAGTTGCCCAAAGAGGGCCTTTTTTCGCCAGGCACGACCCGCACTGGGTCCTAGGATATTTCCTGTCTGTTGCCCCCATGGCCAGGGGTCGGGCTTGTCCTGGCTCTTCTTCAACTGCCCTATCAAGTCTTCTCTTGCAGTCACATCCAAGCTCTCATGATCTTCGGCCGTGTGGAAATGTGGCAGGGAGTAGAACTAGTTTGGATCTCAGCCACTTGCCATATACACTTGTCTAGTTTATCCATTACAGCTGTTAACATATTAAGCATACTTATTTTAAATTCCCTGATACTTCAAAAATCTGCATTATATCTGAGTCTGGTTCTGAGGCTTGCTTTGTATCCTCAAACCGTGCTTTTTCTTTCCTTTTAGCACGCCTTTTAATTTTGTGTTGAAAGCTGGATATGATGCATTAGGTGATAGGACCTGAGGTGAAGAGACCTTTGGTGAGAAGTTTTAAGTTAAGCTGGTTAGCAGTTGGGCTGTGGGTAATGTTTGCTGTAGCTGTAAGTGCTCTGGTCTTCAAATTCCTCTAGTGTCCTTATTCTATCCTCCCTCCAAACTTCGGGCTTCCCTAATCACTCCTTGCAGAATCTACTTTTTGCAACTCTTTTAGCTACACTCCACTGTTATGACACTGGAGGCTTGTTAGCAATGTGATAATGTGTGGAGGAGAGCAGGTGTTCTATAATCTTATGATTAAATTCCAGTGTTTTGTAGGCCTGTGTCCCTAGGCTATGACCTTCACAAGTGTTTCTTAGCTTCTTTCTCTTCCTTATGTGACAATGGAAGGCTAGAGTGGGCTGGATAGGAGGAATGCCTTTTCCTCAGCTGGGATAAGGCTCAGGGGAAGGCTTTTTCATTGGAGAGTAGGTTTTATCCTGGAGATGGTTCTTGATGTATTCACGAGAGTGTATTTTCCCCTTCCAGAACCATGAGGGGACCTTTCTGGGATGTTCACTTGTGAGAACCTGCTGGACTTCCTAGAGGTAAAGCCCACTAAACCTCGAAGCCTGCAGGTCCCCATGGGGTTTCCCACTCTCAAACTATTCCACATTCAGTCTCTAGCAATTTGTCAAAATTACCGTTTATGTGTTCTCACATGTTTATGTTTCTAGCAGTTTCTGCTCTATGTAAGGAGAGATAGGTTGTGCCTCTCCAGATTTGTCTTTTCTCCAGACTCTGGGGTGATTATTTGCCCTGTAACCTCAGTTCTTTGATGGGTCTAAGATAAGTCATTGATTCTCAGTTTGTTCAGCTTTTTTTTTCTGTTTGGAAGTACAGGAGCAATGACTTCCAAGCTCTTTACATGTCCTAACTGAACCTGGAAGTCTGGCATATGGATTTTAATGGGGTAGCGCAAGACCAGTGAACATAGCATTTGTCCTCTTCCTTTCAGCTGTGTATTAGATCTGGGAATAAAGTTGTCCTTGAAAACTGAGCTGTTCCATAAATATTGGCTCTTTTCCCTCCTGGGTATAGAATATTTGTATGGCTCCCTGTACCTGGCATCTCAGCCCCTAAGTTCATAACCTGGAGTGCAGATTAGAGTTTAGACTTCCAGAACCAAAGTCCTTGGTGGTGAGGTCTGAGCAACTGTGACTTAACTCTGGGAGGAAAGAAGTCACCTCTGTCACCACCACTA